GAAAAACTCAATGCAGAGTGAATTTTAACTTGTAAGAAAAATTCAATGCAGAGTGAAAGTGAAAAAATATGGCCACTGTGCTTATGATCATGAAGTCGCAATGGCGACTTCGGCCTGGCTGGGGCTTTAAGTGACTCAGTCTGGCCGAGCTCTTCATGCTTAGTCTGGCTGAGGCTTTTTGTGACTCGGTCTAGCCGAGCTCTTCATGCTCAGTCTGGCTGAGGCTACAATCAAAGCGTTATTGGAATTCCACAGATAGTTGAGATATAAGCTTGCTGTTATACAAAGTGTAGCCCGTGGGGTCACAAATTTATACTATATGAGGAGAAAATGAGAACATAGATTGTCCAAAAGAAAATACAACATTTTGGACGATACAAAAATATAACTTTTATTGAAAATAGCGCTTCAAATGTTCAGTATTCCATGGGTGGAGGAGGTCTCGACCTTCCATGTCCTGAAGTCGGTAAGTGCCTGGTCGGGGTCGGGCTTTCATAATGTAAGGTCCCTCTCACTTGGCTGCCAATTTACCCTCAGTCGGATTTTTGGTAGCAAGAGTTGCTTCTCTCAAGACAAGATCCCCAGCAGCAAACTCCCTCGGTCGGACCTTGCGGTTGTAGTGTGTTCTCATTTTCTATTGGTATGAAGCCAGTCGGACAGCGGTGGTCTCTCTGAGTTCTTCAATTAGGTCGAGGTCAGCCCGACGGAGTTCTTCGGTTAGTACCAGATCCGGATGTGAAACCCTGGGAGTAGGCAAACTGACTTCTACTGGGATAACCGCCTCAGCGCCGTATGTTAAGCGGAAAGGGGTTTCCCCAGTGGGAGTCCGAGCTGTGGTTCGATAAGCCCAGAGTACATTCGGTATCTCCTCCGCCCAAAGTCCTTTAGCAGCTTCTAGCTTAGTTTTGATGATCTTCAGGAGAGAGCGGTAGGTGACCTCACCTTGGCCATTGGCCTGGGGATGGCCAGAGGATGAGAAACAAGGTTGGATCTGGAGGTCGGCACAGAACTTCCTGTACTTCGCATTGTCAAACTGTTTACCGTTGTCGGAGATGATGGCCTGAGGAATGCCAAACCTGCAAACGATCGACTGCCAGATGAACTTGGTTGTGTTCCACTCGGTGATGGTCCAAGGGGTTCTGCCTTTACCCACTTGGTGAAGTAATCAATGGCGACGATCACGAACTTGGTCTGGCCTCGGCCAGTAGGGAGTGGACCGACCAAGTCGATCCCCCATTTGGCGAACGGATAAGGGCTGCAAAGTGTGATCAACTCTGTAGGGGGTGCGTGGGGATGTTGGCAAAATGTTGACACTTATCACATTTAAGCACGAAATCGGTCGCATCGCGATTAAGAGTGGGCCAGAAGTAACCAGTACGGAGTATCTTGTGGGCCAGGGACTTGCCGCCCGAGTGATTGCCGCAGATCCCCTCATGAATTTCTTACATCACATAAGTTGCTTGAGTCGGATTGAGGCACCGCAGATAGGGTCGTGAGAAACCACGTTTGTACAAAATGCCGTCGACAAGGATGTAATTGGACGATCGTGCCCTGACTTTGGCGGCTTGCTGGTGGTCATCTGGAAGTTCCCCCTCTGTTAGAAATTGAAAGATATCCGACGCCCAAGGGATGGGCTCATTTTGGAGGAATTGTACTTCATGCTGGTCGGGGGAAATGGAGGGGTGGGATAGGTATTCGAGGCGGACGCCACTGCTGAGGGCGGACTGGTCTGCGGAAGCCAACTGGGCCATCTCATCTGCCTTAGAGTTCTCCGCACGAGGAATGTGCTTGATGTGAAAGGTATTGAAGAGGCGAACAAGGGGAAGTGCAAGATCCCTGTAAGTCCGCATTGTGCCCTCCTTGGCGTCAAATTCGCCCATGATCTGTCCGACGATGAGCTGAGAGTCGCTAAGCACTCGAATGTGGCTGACACCGATGTCCCTGGCCAGGCGAAGACCGGCTATCAGTGCCTCATACTCGGCCTCGTTGTTACTGGCCTCAAACAAGAAGCGGAGCGCATATTTGAAATAACCACCCTCAGGGCTAGTCAGAATGAGGTCAGCCCCACTACCTTGCCGGCGGGATGATCCGTCGACGTTGAGAGTCCAAGAGTGAGGGTCTTTTGGCTCGATGGGAGCTGGTAGGGGTGGAGAGGCAGTGGTTGGGGTAGGATTAGTAAATTCCAAGATGAAGTCGGCGATAGCCTGTCCCTTAATTGCTGTTCGAGGTCGGTAAGAGATGTCAAACTAGCTGAGTTCCACTGACCATTGTATAAGCCTGCCGGAAAGCTCTGGTTGCTACATGACCTTCTTCAAGGTTGGTCGGTGAGGACCACTATGGAATGGGCCTAGAAGTAAGGACGGAGTCGTCTAGAGGCGGTGACCAAGGCCAAGGATAATTTTTCTAACAGGGGGTAATTCTGCTCTGCTCCCCTGAGAGCCCGACTGATGTAGTAAACCGGTTGTTGGACAGAGTCGTCTTCCCTAATAAGAGCTGCACTGATTGCGGTACTTGAGACGGCTAAATAGAGGAAGAGGGACTCACCCGTGATTGCTTATGAAAGGAGGGGTGGATTGGCCATGCACTACTTTAACTGCTGAAAAGCCTCTTCAGATTTAGTCGTCCATTCAAAAGTTTGCCGAAGAACTTTGAAGAACGGTAGCCACTTATCTGTTGCGCGGGAAATGAAACGGTTGAGGGTTGCAACTCAGCCAGTGAGTCTTTGAACCTCCTTGACCGTCCTGGGAGACTGCATCTCAATCAAGGCCTTGATCTTTTCAGGGTTAGCTTCAATGCCCCGCTGACTGACCATAAAACCCAGAAACTTCCCAGATCCTACGCCGAAGGCGCATTTATCTGGGTTGAGCTTCATTTGGTACTTTCGTAGCGTGGCGAAGGTCTCCCGCAGGTCCATCAGGTGATCAGTGGAGAGTTTGCTCTTGACTAGCATGTCATCAACGTATACTTCCATATTCCAACCTATTTGGTAATGGAAGACGGTGTTGACCAACCGTTGGTAGGTGGCCCTAGCGTTCTTCAATCCGAATGGCATTACTTGGTAATGGTAGGTACCTCGGTCGGTGATGAAGGATATATGTTCCCGATCGGACGTGTGTATCAGGATTTGGTTGTAGCCAGAGAAAGCATCTATGAAGCTAAGCATTTGATAACCGGTCGTGGCATCGACCAGTAGATCTATGCGGGGCAGAGGGTAGCTGTCTTTGGGGCAAGCTCGGTTCAGGTTAGATTAATCAACACAGAGTCGCCATTTGCCATTGTTTTTGCGGACGAGGACCACATTTGACAACCATTTAGGGTAGTCAACATTTTTGATGAATTTGGCCTCAAGGAGTTTGTCGACCTCTGTGGCTATAAGAGTATTGCGCTCTGGATGAAAGACGCACTGCTTCTGGCAGTAAGGTCGAAAATGAGGTTCAATGCTGAGGCGATGAGTTATGAAAGAAAGGTCGATGCCTGGCATATCTGAATGAGTCCAGGGGAATACATCATTGTGCTCGGTCAGAAGGGCAGTAAGGTCGGCCTTAGCTTGGGGGGATAGCTGGCTGCCGATCTTAGCAGTTTTCATTGGGTTGGTGGGATCAATGGAAATCTCAACGAGCTCCTCCACTGGTTTGCCTCTGACCAGCTCGTCCTCATCTCGGGCGTCAAGTCCTTCAATGATCATGGCCTCCTTCAGCTTGACTTCCTTGAGTGAGGCGACATAACATTCCCTGGCGATGGTTTGCTCTCCTCGTACTGTCCCGACCCCCTGGTCAATGGGAAACTTTATGGCGAGGTGGGAGGTTGAAGTGATAGCTTGGAAAGCGTTGAGGGCGGTGCGGCCGAGTATGATGTTGTAGGCAGAGGGACAGTCGACCACAAGAAAGATGAGTAACTTGGTAGTCTGCCGTGGGTATTCACCAATAGTGATGGGGAGGTCGATGGAGCCAATGGAGGTCACCCGGTTGCCAGTGAAACCGACCAAGGGGGTTTGGAGGGGGGACATGCTTTCCTCTCAAATTTTGAGCTAGCGGAAGCAATTGAGGAATATGATGTCTGACGAACTGCCGTTGTCGATGAGAACCCGTCTGACCTTATAGTTGGAGAGAAGGGCAGAAATGATGAGGGGGTCATCGTGAGGATAACGGATGCCTGTACAATCGGCGTCCGTGAAGGTGATGGGCTCTGTCCACTGCCTGGGCTGCTTGGAAGGTCGGTCTACCGTGTCCACTGCTTTGTCCGAGCCGTGTCTTATTTTCCTGAGCTCTGCCTTCTGAGCGGAGCGGGATGGTCCGCCACAAGCAAGGCCACCAGGGATGACTCGAATTTCACCAACTGGCGGAGGGGGATTACCTGGGGACCGAGGCTGTTGTGGGAGGCGGTCACGGCCTTGGTCAAGTTGGACTGGCTGCCGAGGTGGGGTATGTCGGCGGTTGTTCCTGAGGGGCTCAGTTCTTTATCTTTGTTGTGGGTGGGTGTCCGTGAACCGGCTGAGACGCCCTTGACGAATGAGGGTCTCGACCTGGTCCTTGAGGTTGATGCAGTCATCAGTGTTGTGGCCGTGGTCCTGGTGGAAGCGACAATATTTGGACTGGTCTTTCCGGTTGGAAGGGGTCCGTGAAGGCAGGGGCCATTTGAGGAGGTAATCCCGTTGGATTTGGTGGAGGACTTGTTCCATGAGAGAATTGAGGGGCGTGTACCGCTCGAACCAACCGGGCGGTCGGGCCGGTGTCGACGGGTCAGTGCGAGGAGGTCGGTCGGGATATTGGGGCGTTTGGCTGTTATACTGGGTGTTTCTGGGTTTCGAGTCTTTTCTCTTTTCTCTAGGGGGTGGGTTTTTGGATATTGGATATTGGATCTTGGCGAGCGGCTAGTGAATCTTCGGCATTCATATATTTCTGGGCTTTGGATAATAGGGCTGCCATGGAGGTCAGTGGGTTTTTGGAAAGGGAGAAGAGGAAATCGGACGATCGCAGCCCGGCCATGAAAGCCGTAAGGATGACCTTATTGTCATTCTCCGCTACTTGTAGGGCTTCAGTGTTGAAGCGGGTAACGAAGCTACGTAGTGACTCCCCCTCGGTCTGACGGATGTTGAGGAGTTGGGTTGCAGGACGGCATTGGCATTGGGCTCCAATGAAATGGCTGAGGAAGGAGTCGCTGAGATGCTGGAAAGTGGAGACAGAGTCCGCTGGTAACTGATTGAACCACAGTCGAGCTGACCCCTTCAGTGTCACGGGGAAAGCCTGACACATGATCTCGTCGGGGAAGGCATGGAGGATCATGAGGGTACGGTAGGTCTCCAGATGGTCGACTAGGTCTGTCGTACCGTCAAAGGAATCAATGGTGGGCATCTTAAATTTGACGGGCAAAGGTTTGTCCCGGATGGAGGCAACAAATGGTGAATTTGCCGTGGTAGAGGGTTTATGCTGAATGTTTTGCATGACCCCTTGGAGTTAGAGCTTCATTGCTCGGAGCTCGGCGTCCCAGAGTGGAACGTGGTCCCCATGGTCAATCAGTAGAGATCGGACGTTGCTGGCCTCCCCTTCAGGGGCTGGTGCTACGACCGACGGGTGTGGGGGTGGTGGTGGCGGATTTATGTGTGGGTGGAGAGGTTGCAAACCTTCCAGGTTGGGTGGATGGAGTTGGGGAGCAGTATGGCTCGGGGTTCTTTCTTGGTTGGGGGGAATATCTGGAGGCGGTGGAGGAGGAATCGGAAGGTTCCTCTGGAGTAAAGCATTTATCAAGGCCTAGTTTTGTTCGGCCATGCGGTTGATGCTGTTGGTAAGCCCAATAAAGTACTGTGGTGGGTTGTTTGGATTGGGGGGGGTCGACTTGATGGTCGGCAACATTATTGTGAGAAGCCATGGATCTAGTCGTGACCATACACTTTGACGGGTAGGAGAGAAAGGTTGTTGGAACGGGGCCTCCGGCGACAGTGAACACAACTGGCGCGAGGAGCAAAGCGTTCCCACAAACGGCGCCAACTGTTAAAGCTGTTCGTCCCAGTGAATGGATCAAGCAGGTCCAAGCTCCTCCAGCCCGTGTCCAAATGATCAAGCCCACCAGATAACCTGCAGGCAAGTTCAACGGGGAACGGGGTAGTCCCCTAGTGAACTCTCCGACGAGCAAGTTAGGAAGAGAAGTAGAGTATATGGGAGAAGATTAGAGATAGAAAACTTAACCTTTTTCTTGTCTACAACATTTGCTTATATCCTTTGGCAATCATTTCGTTGTCCCTTCCGACCTGCTCTCCTTGTCGAAAGCCTATGCTGTAGCTTACCTTGCTCAGGGTAAGGGGGCCCTGTTCCGACAGAGAGGTGTTGTCGTAATAAATGCTATGATGGGCTGCATTACTGGTGATGTGCAGTGGTAATAACTTTGCAGATCTTTGTCTGCTGATGTGGCTCATCCTTCACCCGCCGCGTGCCTGAATGCTGTTGGTTCTTGATGCCATATTGGATTCCAGCTGTTCTGGACTCCATCAACAGGGTTATGCATTGGGCCCCGAATGATGGGCTTGGGTTACTTATAGTGGTTCATGGCCTTTGTGGGCCTGTCCATGTCACATTTATTTAAAACATTCCAAACAACTCTTAAAATTTTAAAATGTGCCCTCTAAGAAAGGAAAAAACACCAATTATACATATATGATTTCTTAAACGCTACCATTTACTCTTGCAAGCTTGTTTTTGTGGAGTAGTAATCATATGGCATGTTGTTCGATGTTTGAACAGATTGTGTTCAATATTATGTGATCACGTGTGTGAATTATGGCAATAGTTTTAAAATCCGTGATTCAAACCAAACCAAACCAAACCCCGTTTAGTGATTTGGTATAGTTTGGTTTCAAAATTTTCATCATTTTGTTTGATTCCAAAAT